TCATAATCTTTATCAACCATCATTAGTCATCATCATCATCATCACTACCATATCCTCCTCTAACCAGCGGCGCCTTCCTCCTTGCAGGAACAGAACAGTTCCTCGAGCAGCGAGTCGGAGGATGAGCCAGTGAGCAAGTGCCGCCGCCTGTCCACCTCGTCGTGTGACTCCCCCTGCTCCTCCCCCTGCCCGTCCCCCTGCCCCGACGCCCGCCCTCGCCGCGCCCACCGCTGCCACGCCCACCGCTGGTCACACTACGATTCCAACCTGTCAGAGACAGGTTCATATATCGAGGTGAGGGTCTGTGTGTATGTGTGTGTGTGTGTGTGTGTGTGTGTGTGTGTGTGTGTGTGTGTGTGTGTGTGTGTGTGTGTGTGTGTGTGTGTGTGTGTGTGTGTGTGTGTGTGTCCGTATCTGTATCTGTTATCTGTGTGTGTGTGTGCGCCACAACCTAAAAAGTGTGGCTACTGATTGTTGATTTTTATGCGTGGTCGAGATGATAAAGCTTGATAAGATGTCAATAATCGTTATCAGCTTTATCACTGCCATGTTGTCTTTTGATCCAAATCAAAAGACACGCCACATTTAGTGTTTATTTGGTGTGAATGACAGTGCCAATGGAGTATGTGATGACGGTAAGATACACAAAAAAAATTATTTTTATTTACGTAATGATTTTTTTTTCACTAGTGGCTAAGGTCTTTTTTGATTAGTTACTTTATAAATTGATTGGGATTTCCACAACTGTCATCTGTTTTTTCTATTTTTTCTCTTCATTTTGGGTCTTTTTCTTCTTTCTTTATTTCTTCTTTATTCCATCGTTTCCAGATTTTTTAAACGTTTTTTCTCATTACGGATTTCTCGTTTTCACATTTTTTATATTTTCTCTTTATTCCTGTTTCAGTAAGGTAAAGGTGGTAACTGTTAGTATTATCTTTTCATATTTTTTCGCCGGCGTCATTTGATCTTTAATTTCCTCCTGTTCTTCCGTATTTTTAGTTATTTTCCTTCTTTCTCTACGTTTATTTTTGTGCCTCCTCCATCTCCTCGCGTTCTTTCTCCTATTTTCCATTATTTCCATTATTCCATTCTTATTTCCATTATTTGCGTCTTACCTCTCTGCATCACCAGCTTTTTTTCTCGCGTTTTTTTTTCACCGTCAGCGAGAAACAGCGCACCATAAGGTCACCATGCATTGCACACCATAAAGCATCACCTTCTATGAGCTGATCATCCCCGCACCATTTGCAGCATATCGCGTTGCAACGGCAGGTGTCGTGTTGCAAGCACCAGCGAAGTTATTTCCTGCTGTTTTTTTGTCTGTCTTTCTTTCTCTTTCTCTTCACTCTCGTCGTTTTTTTTTTTTCTTTTTTTTTCTTTCTCGTACGTTTATTGATTCTTTTTCTGTTTCTCTCTTCGTAACTCCATGTTTTTTTTCTCTCTCTCATCACATCGGCTTTTTTCTTCTCTTTTTCTTACGTTTTCTCTATTTCTCTCACGTTTTCTCTATTTCTCTCTTCGCATCACTTCATTCTCTCTCTTCTCTCACTCCCTCATATCACCCCATTTATGTTTGATTTATTTCCCTTTATTTCATCTCTCCCCTCGTCCCTCACAGGCCTCCCCGACCTACTCATGCTGCCCTCACGCACATGAGACCAAGGTAAAAGAAAATGAGACGAGAAAGAAATTCGTTTGAGGAATGCTCTTCCTAACTCCCCCCTCCCCCTCTTCCCTCCTCCTCCGTCCCATTCCTCCTCCCCACCCTCCCTTCCTACCCCCATCCTTGCTACCCTCTCCCCTCCCGTTCCTCCTTTTCCCTTTCCTCCCTCCCTCCCTCAGTCCTTCTTTCCGCTCTCCCTCTTCGTACCTCTCCCCTTCGCTTCCCACTCCTCTACCTCTTTCCCACAATCCTCCATTTCCCCCTCCCTCCCTTCCTCCCAATCCACCTCTCCCCTCTCCCTCCTCCCTTACCTCTCCTCTTCCGCCTCCCCCATAGTCCTTCTTTCCCCCCCCCTCCCCCAATTCGCTCCCCTTCCCCCTCCCCCTTCCCACTTCCCCCCCTCCCTGCATGACCGCATTACGACCTTCGCATGATTCCCATTCTCGGACTCTCTTGCTTGTGCGCTTTTCTGCATGACCCGCTTCTCTTTCTCTCATGCATCTTTTTAATCTTCTAGTCGGAATTTTGAATGTGCACGCAGGAAAAAAAGTAATAACTCTGTTCCACATGTTTATCGCATTGTTTAATTCCTTAACTCTGTGATGATGAAGTTTGATGTTATTAATATTGTTGATGTACCTTTTAACGTATGTGTAAGGTTTTGATATGAAGGGCGAATGCAAATTAATGTGTACGAAGTACGGTTTGTCGGCGTGATTCTGTGTACGTGCATATGTGCGCTTTTCCCTCTGTGTATAGCATGGTAACAAATACTGTAACACGTTGAGTAAGTAACCTATTACCTCGACCGCTGCAGCGATAACAGGTCATGATTATTGCTGTAATTCTTGTTCTACGTCCGTCGCCTCAACCTCATTGTGTATTTGCGTGTTGGTGTGCAAGTGATTGTGTATAAGTGTGTATGTTAAGCTTTTGTGTAAATATGTTTTTGATGTTTCACTGTATTCTTTTTGGTGTACCCGACCCGCTCCTATTGTTCAGTTAGGTGATCTTGCAGCATAACTGCATTGTCGTTCATAATGTATTTGACGGGTCTTTTGAGAGAGTCGTGCTTAAGTTATGATCTTAATGTAGAAAAAAAAACTCTTTTCTTTTCATGCATGGGTTGATATTCGTTATTTGCAATATGTTAGATCTGATAAATTTAGTATGTACATAGGTTTGCAACCATGATTAGTGCAGGTGATTATATGTATACCAACCTTGTTAAAAGCAGTTCAGTGTGATAACATAGGCCTTAGGTAGAAATATTAGTTGAGACACAACTTTATTTCACTGAAGTTGTGGTGGCCTCTCTGATTTTTTTCATGTTCATATACTGAATGTTCGCTTGGCCACAAGAATGGTGATATCTGGTCCCTCTTTCAACTTTCTTCATGCTGGTCTACGTGTCTAACGCTTTCCTTACCGTCCTCCAGGATGACTATGTGTGCATAAGCGGGGGTAGTGAGTGCGGTGTGGCCTCCCGCCCACCCCCTCTACACAGCCCCCCCTGGAGCCAATGGTAGTCGACCCCCTTCAGCAGCCCGACGCCGCTCCTGCCGCCGCTCCGCAAGACTCCGAGGCCGCGGCCGCCCCCGTCGCCTCCCCCCAGCCCGAGGCGCCTGCCATGGTGGGAAGCGCCGGTCTGGACACCGTCCGCGCCCGCTGCTGCCCGCTCGTGCCCTCCTCCGACCTCGCCGGCGACGACGCCATGATCCACCAGTCCGACAAGTCCCCGACCATCACCGTCACGCCACCACCACGTCCACCACAGACATGACTGACGGCGAGATGGAGAACCTGAACCAAGTGAACGGCAACACCGTGGTGTCGCCCGCCAGCACCGAGGACTCGGGGTCAACCTGACCTCGTCCTACACGGAGGACCCCGCCGCCACGGACGTCAGCGCCAGCGTCAGGGACTCGCCCTCGAAGTCGAGCTGCACCAACATCGAGCGGCCGTCGCCCAACTGCGCCATCTACGACTTCAAGCACCAGGACACCGACACCGAGGAGGCCGCCGCAAACACCGCAACCAGCACTGACACTGCCGCCTGTCAGGCCAACCTCAACCTGGTGGAGTGCGACCCTGCCAGGAACCGCATCTACCAGGTGCGCAGACGGGGCGTCAGGAGCGTCGTCAGGACCTCGGCGCGCACCCGGCTGGAGTTCAGCTGCGACGAGGAGGTGGACCACGAGGCGCTGCAGAAGATCATCGACTCCGCCATCCTGGACCCGGACTGGCTCAACTCCAACATGCCCAGCGACTCGGAGGCGAGCGCCACGGAGGACGAGGCGCCGCTGCAGGAGCACATGGACACCGGGAGCGACGGCGGCACCCCAGGCCACCCCCACCCCCAGCAGGAGGACCAGGTCGCCGCCCAGAACCAGCCCCTCCACCAGGAGGCCCAGAGGACCATCAGCAAAGAGTCGATCACCCGCCTGGTGAGTGACGCCGAGCGGCTGGTTCGCGAACCGCCCGAGGGCGACCAGCCAGCCCCCCTGGTGTCTCCCCGGCCGCACCAGCTGCCGCTCAACATGGGCCCCTGCAAGGGCGCGATGGGCAGCAAGCAGGCCCGCGTGAGGCAGTGGCTGGCGTCGCAGCGCCGCGAGGCCCGCCTCTCCACCACCTGCGTCATGGACTCCTGCGACGCCTCGGGCGAGCTGACCACGGGCGAGAGCGACATCGAGTCGTGCACGTCCGAGGACATGGACGCGTCCACCGCCACCCAGCACGCCGTCTCGACGCGGGGCTCCGTGCGGGGCTCGCAGAAGGGCTCCCTCAAGGGGTCCCGGGACCCGCTGCCGTCCACGGACAACACGCCCACCGCGGAGAAGGCCGCTGCCGTGCCGAGCCCGGCCGACGCTGCCCACCCCAAGGTAAGCCTGGCTGAGCTTTTGTTTTTGTGCAGCTTGCACTTGTGAAAGTCTTGACTGTTGTTTGTTCTTGCGGCGACGATTTTTTCGCAAGCCTTAACCTGTGCAACTTGCCGCAGGTGGTTCTTCGTTCTCGCAAGCGTCGTTCCGGCGAGCAGCGGCCGTGCAGCGTGAGCGAGCTGTACCAGCTGGCCACCCGCCTGGACCTGGCGCCGTTCTCCGTGTCCGAGACCGCCCTTCACAACCTGCTCACTGCCACGCCCGAAACGCCCACCAACGACAACCAGGCCTTGTAAGTACTCCGTGCATTGTTTTGGAGATGTCAGTGTGTGTGTGTGTGTGTGTGTGTGTGTGTGTGTGTGTGTGTGTGTGTGTGTGTGTGTGTGTGTGTGTGTGTGTGTGTGTGTGTGTGTGTGTGTGATATTCATATCCACGTAAGTCAGTATCGATAATACCGGTACATTACGTCAGTCTGACGGGGTATTACCGTAATATCTTTAAAGAGAAAGGCTCTTGCATAATTTTCCAAGATTCGACAAACCGACACCAGGAAATGGTTGCCCAAGCCCCCGATAACACCAGTAGGTTCATCCTCTGATTGCGGGCCCGGTGAACCTTTTGAACCTCGCCTGCCTACCACCGTCGAGCGTGGCCGAGGGCGCGTCGGGAGCGCGTTACACTTTCACTCGCCGACCTCGCGCCGACTTTGCGTAACATATTAGACTTCTAATGTGTATGAGCTTGTTATTAGTCTCCCTCTTCTCTCATTGTTCTGTTTTCTTTTGTAATTTTGTATCGATTGTGTGTGTGTGGTGATTGACGTTTCGAGAGGAAGGAACGGAGAAGGGTGAAGTTCAAAGATATTTCGTAGAAGTTCGAAACGAATCCGATTTTCTACGGCCAGTGGAGTTTGCCGAGCGTAGAATAAAATGAATAATGAGAGGGTACTACGGTAGGAGAGTGGAATTTTATATGCGTATCCAGCTGATGTAGTACATAAATATATGTATTACAGCTGGTTCATATTCATTTTATTTTACACGGAGTAAAAATATAGCAACAGATAGTGATGAAAATGGATGAAGAAAGAGATAATTACAGGGGGAGAGAGAGAGAGAGAGAGAGAGAGAGAGAGAGAGAGAGAGAGAGAGAGAGAGAGAGAGAGAGAGAGAGAGAGAGAGAGAGAGAGAGAGAGAGAGAGAGGAGAGGGAGGGAGGGAGGGAGGGACTGAGGGAGGGAGGGGGGAGGTGGGGAGAGAGAGAGAAGGGGGGAGAGGCAGAGACAGACAGACAGACAGAGAGGATGATATGAGACATCTTTTTGACATCCTGCGAGTCACACAGCCTCCATCAACCACACGTGATGCTCGTGCAGCGTCCCTGCGAGAAGGGCTGCTTTCTATCGGCTGTAGTCTATTAGCTGTTATTGAAAGTTACGTCACGGATCACCCGATGCTATGGAATTAATGGAATGGGGAATGGAAGATAAATGGTGCGTCTGCCTGTTGTTTGAAAATGGCATGTGTTAAATCTGACCCGTAGAATAATGTGGGTTATGTAAAATCAGTTGATATGGAAATAAAAAAAATGTAATATAAAAACATGACCATGAAATCACATCAGTTAAAGGGCATCCAGTACTCGATCAACGACGATGACTGACGCTGGCAAACAAATACAAGCGAAAGGCCATGCTTGCTCCTGCGTGGCTTCCTATCGTAAGGCGCGACAGCCTCCATCAGGTTTCAATTCCATTCAATCAGTTGGCACCTGCGGAGTTGTACATCTGCTGTGCATCTGTTTAGCAATCGCGTACCCGAGCGTGGCCGCAGGTGCCTCTCGGTAACGCCGTTTTCGAAACCGCGTCGCCGTGAGCAGGCCTCCCACGCTTGCCTTTTAATTTATGAGATTAAATGTTAATGCCTCAGGTGATGGTGCGTTGTGCGGATGAGGGGCTGGGCCAAGAATGAGGTCGTGAGATTTTGCAATGTCGTTTTGCTGATTTATTTATGTTTAGCTTTTTTATTTTATTAACGTGCAGAGGAGTAGGCGTAAAATAATATGTTCGAACACTTGGATGCCAACTGATAGGTAGACTTTGATTCGCTGTTCTAGTAATATTAGAGTGTCCATTTGCAGTATAATAAACTCCGGTAAATATGACTGGATTGTTTTAGCATGACTCTCCGTGGAATATGCATATAAAGAAAAGAAATCCTACAATAAGGTAGGTGGAGAGGCACGCGTGGTGTGATGGGAGAACAGGACGTCACTTCGGAAGTCAACAGAGCGTTAAAGAAAACGGGAAGTGCTCTTACCTGTCAACACCGATAACGATAACATTGTTTATGCAAAGGTGCGTTTGTCGGGCTGTCAACAACTTTGTTCGGGGAGGGACAACTGCGACAAATGTGACGAAATAGAAGCATTGTCCTGGGCGACAATAATAGGCGACGCTGACATAGTTTGGCGATTCTTCTTATTGTAAATTTTGACTGAATGCATCCCCGGCGTTTCCCAATCCATACACCCCCCCACCCCCCTCCCTCATCCCCGGGGTTTTTAACTCATCGTTCGCTTTCCTCCAAGACGGGGCTAAATACCTGCCTAAGTGGGCTATTCTTGGGTAGACAGACCTCACTAGTGGGTGAAGTGGGAAGGAAGTGGGGTGGGGGGGGGGGTTGAAGCGGTGAATAAGCTGCGGCTGATGAGAAGAGAGCTCATTTTTGTTTAAAATAACAGAAAATCTCTTTAATGAAAGGCGGTTAGGTGTTTGTTTACCATGAAATCGTAACGAGAAGATGATTCAGAGATCCGAAGCGGAAATTCCCCAACTCCAGGTTTGATATCCAGCGATTATTATCTTTTCTGACGATCAGGCTGCTGTCATCAGAGAATCGCGGAAGGAAGTTTTGTCAGGATATAAACTTCCGAGATTTAGATCTGTTCACGGAAGACCAGCTTGCTCAAGTTGAGATTCTTGCAAAGTATTGCACAGGAATTGTGAAATAAAGGAGAGAAGTAGGGCAAAGACCGCTAAAGTTCATGGAGATTGTCATGAGCAGCGGTGACTGTCTTCAGCCGTGCTTGAGAACAGTTAGTTTCCCTCGTGTCCCCGCTCCGATCGCAACGGCCGACTCTCGCACCGGCGCCGCGGCCTGGAAACTCACGCCATATCTCGCGTGATTGATATTTACTCGCCAAATTAATTAGATAATAAGTGCAATGAGTAAGCCGTTGTAGTGTTGTGGCTGTGGGAGCGGCGGGTGTTGACACGATGGCACCGCCTCTGTGTTGATAGCTGGTGTTAACGTGACTCACGCCCCCCTGACACTCGCGCTGCTTAACAAGGCTTTAGTTATCCTTCTATCTCGGCAAGGTCAGGGCGGAGGAGTCCCAGTGGATCGAGGAAGCGAGAGAGGACGTGTTCTGTCTCGTCCGTCTCGCGGAGGGACGCGGCGTGGCATTCCGCATTTCCGGAGGGAAGCCGGCTGGAGATACGGACTCCTTCTCGTAGTGTTGTTTTGTCTGTTGCGCTGTTGGCCGCAGTGATAGGTCGAGTGACAGCAGCTCGCCCCCATTCGCGTTTATGAAAATAAGACGTAGAATTCGGGAAGAATCCGTTTCGGAGGCAGCGGGTCGTCGAACTCGCTCCGTGGCTGCTCACGATGTGAAACGATGATTGCCTGTGAGAGTGGCTGGCGACATACCGGGCGGTGCGCGGAATCATGCGAGAAGGGGAGACAGTGAAAGATTTTCTCTTGTTCTTTTGGAAGTGTTCTGCCGCCGGGTGAGATGCTGGCCCTGAGTAACTTCTTGAGCATCGTGGTTTTCGAACCGAGGAATGGGTAGGTGCACTTCCTGAAACGTAGAGGAAGTGGAAGTTCTTCCCTGTTTACAGTTATTTATTTTTTGACGCGGTGAGTGGGGGAGGATAAACTACCGGGATCTTCGTGCTCGGCTGCATGGGTGTGAATCAGATGTGATGTGTCGCGTGTGTGTCAAAGAGCATGTTGTCCTGACTGTGAATTAAATCCTTATTTCCTTCACCCACAGTGGAGCAGAGACCCCAGACGCGGCTGGCAGTAACACATCCCCTACAGATGTTTCCACGCCAACCACCACCGGGCCTCCGGCTACCCCCGCAACCAACACCACAAAACAAACCATCACATCAACAACACACCCAAACATTTCCGCGTCTGCCACCATCACCACTTCCACAACATCAACCACGGCAGACCGGCAGTCTCCTGCAACCAATGCCACCGGATCGCTGAGGAGGAGAAAGACCAGAGCTCGCAGGAAGTCAAACCTGTCCTTGGTAAGTGACGTAGACCTTATGAAATTACTGTCCTCGCGCATAGAAAATGTGTGGATATTTTACATGAGTCAGTGTTCAAACGACTAGAGAAAACGGTTGAGCCTCGCTAAGTTACCCGTTTTCTTTTAATTTATTCCAGGGGCGACGAACCGATTCCGGATCAGACGGCTTGGCTCTCAACCTGTCTGGAGGCTCTGACAACAACCAAGTGTCTCCTAACCGCCGCCTATCCAAGTCACACTCCTCGGGTTCGGACACCGCCTCACACTGCAGGAGGCATATCGTCAAGAGTTCCTCCTTCTCCGGTGAGTTATTTCGGATTAACGGGGCGCTCAGAGGGGGTAAGGGGTGACGCCGCCAACTTTAGTGTGCTGTTGACATTGTTGGAGACGTTCTTGTGGTGACTGTGCGGCGGCGGCGTTCAGTGTGGAAGGTGCTGACGATGATCCCTTTGTTATTTGACCATGTCGTCGGCGTGACTTGTTTTTAAAGGGGGTGTGTCTTTAGAAATGTTTTTTTGCGTCACTTTCGTTTAATTTCAAGATAGCCGCCCACGCCTCCAAGGGAATTTCCGAGAAAGAAAGATCGTTTATTCAGAGTGCTTGATATATTTTAATCTTGATCCGCGAAGGGACACCTTACTGACGTCCAAGGCCACTTTCAGGCGCGTGCCGTGGGGGCTCGGGCGGCATGACGTCGTCCACCGAGAAGTGCGTCTCAGACTGCGGGGGCGTGTTGGGCGTGCCTCGCCTGCACACTCGCGCCCCTCGCCGTCGACGACTGCTGCTCCAGCGACGAGTCCCGCCCATCCAGCCCGGCGCCGGCGTTGCTGGAAGCCATCGTGCCAAGGAGCCCCGCCCACACCGCCGCAGCGCCACCCAGAGCGACCAGGACGCCCTCAACACCCACGAGGACATGAGCTCCCTCTCGGAGCAGGCTTGGGATCCTTACCAGGTAAGCCATTGTGGTGATAATGATTGTGATTGCTATTATTAGTACCTCCGCCAAGGAGGTTATGTTTTTTATTTTTTCTATAATTGTTATTATTTTGTTATTGTTGTTATTATTTTAGATATTGTTATTATTATTTATTTTTTTTATTATTATTTTTTTTATATTATATTATTATTATTATTATTTATTATTATTTATTATTATTTATTATTCATTGTTATTACTATTGTTGTTATTGTTACTACTACTATTATTATTTTTGTTGGTATCACAATTCATTGTTATTATTTTTATTATTATTGTTAATGTTTTTATTTATTATTATTATTATCAATACTTTTTTTCGTATTAGTAGAAAAGAAGAAGTCGAAGGAGAAGCAGAAGTATTTCATCGCAACAGTTGTGTTGGTATAACTAACAGCTCTCCCTATATTACAGCAGGAATACAAGTACTTCAGTGAGCCTTACTCGGAGGACATCGACCAGGAGGCTGCCAGGCGCTTGCTTGAGTTCGGAGACGACTACAGGAAGTACATCGACTCCGACGGGGCATCCTCCTTCTCGGGCATCCCACACAGGGGTCGCCGCTCCCCCCACCACCGTCGGCTGAGATCATTGATCCCGCAAGGTGCTCGTGACCTGGATTCTGACTCCGACCTGGATGACCTCCATCATGTCATCGACGAGTCCAGATCTCAGCTGACCGTCACAGAGAACGTCCTCAAGAAATACTCCAACGAGGCTGCTCTGGGACTTGATTACGTGAGTAGTTGTTGAAGTTTATCTAAGCTACCCCTGAAATAGAGGCTTCACCTGCACCGTTTTCTTTAACAGCGATAGAGCTCGGCGGGATAAAGCTTCCTCGTTTTCTTTGCGCTATATAGCAGTGGGCTGAGCTGACCTTGACACTCTTGAGTCATCAGGGTGGAGATGTGAAGTTCAATTTATGCGAGACTTTAGAAGTTATTCAAATTTTAGTCATATTCACACTTGTGGCAGGTGGATATTTTTTTTTATCTAGCTATGCCAGACTTCATTGCAGTAACTGTTGGAGGATCTCCCATCGCAATTACTTTCACTAGCGATAATGCTAATATAGCTTATCACCTGACCTTTTTGGCAGCGATATCGTATTCATGTATTCCTTAAGCAGCGTAAGACTACATAGCACGGAGAAAGTTGAACTCCTTGAGCATGTGGTGAGACAGACATATGTGTCATTGTTGCCAGATGGCTGCAGTTTATCTTTTCACGCTCCGATCGTCAATTTATTTTTGTTTTGTTTTTTAAAGCCAGTCATAGATCCGCATTCTGCACACGAGCTACCGTAACAGATTTCCGGAATTTGAAGCCGCTTAACGCATTTAAATCGCGAAACCCAAGCGATGTGGCAACTGCGGCGGAGGCAGTGCCCAGCAGTCCAGCATCAGCAGCGAGGCAGATGTCTGGTCCAGCTGGAAACTGGGGCCTCTGCCAAGCGACGCCAGGCTGGACGCACGCACACCCCCATACGCTCGCTCGCGAATTTGTACACGCAAGGAAATAGGTATTACGTAACACATTTCGTTACATCCGGTTACGTAATTAACAGTCCGCAGCTTTTGTTTTTCTGTCTTGGCGTCCGGAAGCCGCTTTCCATCTCCGCCCACCCCGCCCACTGCTGGGGCGGCAGTTGGTGTGTTGATGGCGTGCTGGTTGCGAGATGAGGGATGATACGAAAATCAAGATTGAAAGCACTAACGCGTCTTAAAACGTCGTCCTATGTTGTTTTTTGTGCATTTAAACTATTACTTTCGTCGTTGAAAAGGTGAAAATAGACAGTTGCTATGACATGCGTGGTTCAACATAGGTGTATTTTATTTTTGTTTTGAAAATAAATATATAAATCAACAACAGTGAAGTAAGAGGATACAGAGAGGTTATTATACAAGTGTATCGTATACATATATACTGCTATCAGTAAGAATGGACTGATAACATAGTGTCTCTTCGCCTCTCACCCGCCAGGCCGAACTCGTGGCCACAACGCAGACCAACATCAAGTGCCTGGCCGAGATCGTGCGACATCTGCAGATGGAGGGGACGCTGGAACCCGAGCTGCAGGAAGTGCAAAGTAAGTGCTGGATTTTCGAGTGTTTTACGCCGCTGGTTTTACTTCTCTCTTTTTCTTTTGTCTTTGTTTCTTTTTTTTCTCTTAAGTTTGTATTATTTCTTTCTATTTTTCCCCTTTTTTTATATATTTTTTTAAGTCACACTTCTTCACGACTAGTGGTATTCTCTGGTATTGTCGATGATTCGTCCTTGAGGTTTGCTGGTGTATCCTCTTAGAATGTCTTCCATTATATGGCTTTGCTGCGAGTGTCCGGGTGTTTTGGTAACACGGTTTTCCATCAGAATCCCTTTCAGTTATTTATATTTTGTAGGTGGATAATTATTGTCTGGTGGCAAGGGATATCTTCACCGCTGGTTGATGTTAAGGCAAAAGGATGGATTGTTTTGTTTGTTAGTGTGTTGGTATTACATAAGATTAAGTACCATTTAAGAAACCAAGTGGAAGTACGAAGATCGTGAAAAGGCGAAGGAACGTGAATATTTGCTGACTGAGCTACGGCTATTTCGTCGTAAGAAGCATTCAAACTTGTTGTTGAATAAGCCTAAAGAGACGGGGAGTAGGGGGGGGGGTAGGGACGGGGAGGGAAGAGTAGGGATGATGAAGTCCAGGTGTTTCTCAGTTTAAAGACATGACTTTGAATGTTTTTTAAGTACACATTGAGCAGCGGGTGATCCATGGGGTGCCAGCTGAGAGAAGAAAGGGGGGAGTTTGTAGTGAAAGACGTGTAGGGGAAACTTTTGTTTGAATAATCCTTTAAAACCGTGATTTTTTAAATTGTTGAGTTAGCTACAAAAAAGCAACGTGATTTTTATGGACCTTCGTGAACGAGTTACAAAATAGCAGTTCTTTAGCAACGTTAATTACTGTCTCTTGGCCTTGGGGATTCAAAGTTGGTGCGCGAAAGAGGCGGAAAATGCGCACGTTTAGCACATGTAACCGGAACGAGGCGACGACTGATTGGAATGTTTACGGGGGCTTGCGATGACAGCAAGGAGGGAGTGAAATGTATGCGCATATGCCAGGGGTTATGTAAGTCTGAGGATGGGATTGCCGGGCCAAGGTGTAAATGGCTGGCCTTTGTACTGATCCGATTTTGTTTACAAGTTGCCAGTTTTTAGTTTACCTGCGTTAGATACTCTTCTTTGAGGTCGTGTTGGTATATTCCTGTGTGCACAAATAGGAAGACTTTGATTTGGCTAATGCTTAGGCAACTTGATATATTTCGAGGAAGAGCAACAGGCTGAATTCCTTCACTATTTAGCTGACGCTGAAGCCTCTGTCGTCTGCTTTGGCGGGGGTGTTGTGTCAGGGAAGCCCTGCAGTGGCCACGGTCACGGCGGGACAGTCGAACCATCCAGGGCTGTGGCGGGGCCGCCCAAAGCTCATTACGGCACCGTCAGCAGCCACGACGCTCAGTGACCTGGTCTCGCCTAGTCAGCAGGAGGATCCTCGCCCGGAACACACGCGAGACGAGCACGGGCGGGCGAGAGGGCATGTTGAGGCCTTTGTGTGTGTTTGCGTGACTTTGTGAGTGTGACACTCGATGCCGGAGGCGAGGAACACGGCCGAGAACACGCTACTCGGAGTCGCTGGGTCACACGACAAGGAATCCGGGCATGTCTCGGTCGTAGGACATTTGAACTGGCCAGAGACCTGTTAAGGCTCCCATACAACAGGTCTCGGAAACCCGACACTGTGGGTCGTGGAGACATGGCGGTCGCGGCGTAAGGATACTCTCGATCTGGCGGAGTGTGGTCGAAGTGGCGACGACGCACCGCGGGGCCGGAATGGGGATTCGGACCTGTAACGCCATTAAAGACTCCAGCCTCGTTTTAGCTGGTATGTGGTAGCTCGTAGGTTGACATGAGGTATGGAAGTGGTAGGAAAATGCCTATTCGCATTTAACGCTCTTGTTTGACTGTAAATTGATGATGTGGGTGTACAAAGGGTGTTGCAAGGTTTATTTGAAGGGTTCTCATAAGTGCTATACATTGTTTCGGATCCCACATTCATTATGAAGAATAATGCTGAGTGAGAAATGTCCATTTTGCTAGGGATGCCATAACAAAGACTTCCACTGCCCTCCTCAGTCACTCATGTACGTTACAAACGACTAAGGTAGTAGATTAGTATCTCTAGATACTGAATGTTATCACGAAGTATGAAACGTCTATCCTCACATTCATGATGCTGCCAAAGAGACTGAATGCGCAATAAGCACGTAGTGGCAAATCTCCTAACTTCTCGGTGATCTAAAACGACTGATACACACTTCCCTGGTGTGTGCTCGCCTGCGCTGTCAGCCGCGCTTAAGCCGCAGGAACGCCAGGCACGGAGCTCTATCTGCCTCCTGTCAGGTAGTGCCACCCTGTGCCACAACACTGCCGTCATGGAGATGCTCCCGTGACGCGTAGGAATTGGCCGAGGGGGGATGGGGGTGAGGGAAAAGGAATGGGAGAGAATGGGGAGAGAGAGAGAGGAGAGAGAGAGAGAGAAGAGAGAGAGAGAGAGAGAGAGAGAGAGAGAGAGAGAGAGAGAGAGAGAGAGAGAGAGAGAGAGAAGAGAGGGAGAGAGAGAGCGAAAGAAAGAAAAGCAGTAAATGAGATGAAAGTAGGATTAAGAAAGTAGACAGGTTAGAAGAAATATATACGCCGTTAGCTAGCCATTGTTATGTACAGCGATTCAAACTATCCCTTAAAAAGCGGTCCAGCTTAGCGTATTTACAGCAATGACGTAAGTGAGAAGTAACGTAGGTGTGTGTGTGTGTGCGTGCATGTGTGTGTGTGTGTGTGTGTGTGTGTGTGTGTGTGTGTGTGTGTGTGTGTGTGTGTGTGTGTGTGTGTGTGTGTGTGTGTGTGTGTGTGAGAGAGAGAGAGAGAGAGAGAGAGAGAGAGAGAGAGAGAGAGAGAGAGAGAGAGAGAGAGAGAGAGAGAGAGAGAGAGAGAGAGAGAGAGAGAGAGAGAGAGAGGCATTAGGGGGACAAATAGTAAGCATTTGATAAATGACGGTATGATAAGATTGCTTATCTTATTTGTGTTATTAATCAGAGAGTACAAGTAAACTGCCGATGTGGGTATTATAGATCTATACTTTCTTCAGCATGAAATTAATGATATTAGACGCGTAAATACAGTTACGGAAGTTATTATGAGACAACCCCTCCCCCCCCTTCCCCGGGAGCAACAGCGGTAGTATATCCCGCACTGGTAACTCTCTCCTCCCGCGTGCTGAAGTCGGGAGCTCACCTCTATTTCAGCGCGTGATCAGCGTCGCCTGTCGTGGCTTCAGTTATTTCGTTCCTCAGGTTAGCCCCCCGAAGGCAGCTGATGTTTGACGCGTCCCTGGCACTCCTTGCTGAGGGCCTCGACTCCCTTTCGTGCCGTAGACCACGCCCATTTTCGGGCAGTTGGGCCGCGTAAGCCGCGCTTTTGAATCCTCGCCGCCCCCGGACGCTCAGCCTCGCGACGGTTGTGCGTCGGCCCACCTGTCCCGCCCACGGCCACCCACGCTCCCCGCAACCCACCCTCGCTCCACTCCCGCCCCTGCCAGGATCATTCCCTCATTCATGGGAGATTATTGTTTTGACACTTTTATTTTGCTTGTTAGCTTGTTTGTTTATGCGAGGGCACGGTGGGGGTGAGCGCACGTGTGGCTGTCACGCCTCACCTTCATTTTCCTCTCCGTTTTTGTTTACGAAAGGGGACGCCGAAATGAGGATCCGCCCACGTGCTCCGAGGTGTGGCCCCGGAGGGACGGGAAGGCGGAGGGGAATACTGCAGGGGCGGGGAGGGGGCGCTGGGTAGGCAGTGAGGGGAAGGAGGGGCAGGGGGAGCTGGGGAGGCAGATCAATAATAGTGGGGCTGCTGCATGGCAGTTTGAGCATGCAAAGTCTGCTCGACCAGTCTTTTCCGGGACGCGACGTCGGCTCGGAGCGTCACGTCCGCGCCAGGTGCCCTCGCTCGCCTGTGCCGTGTGAGTGCCCTTCGGCGTCTCGCGGCGCTCGCCCTCCTCCAGGGGAAGGGCGAGGAGGTCGTCCGGCTCTGCAGCTCCTCGCAGTGTCCTCTTGTGCACTTTCTGCGTCGTCTGCCTCTTCCCTGTCTGTTTTCCTTTGCTTTCTTAGAAGTATCCTTCTCTCCCTCCTACCTTTGTCTCATGATGTTATTTGAGACGCCGCCGTTGCGCGGAGAATCAGATGTGTACATATGATAGTTGTGACTGCAGTCAGTCGGCATCTTCCTCATTCCTTCCCCACTCCTCATCATCCTCTTCCCCTCTCCACATATTTCTCCCTCTTCCACCCTTCATTTCACTTCCCTCTCCTTCTTTCCCCTCCTCCTTCTGCCTCCCTCCCCGTGCCACCGCCAGGACCTGGGAACAAACAGGTCATTGACGGAGGAGCGTGGTCTCCCCTCCCTTTTCCCCTCCCGGCCCGGCGCGGCTCCTCCCCCTCTTTACCCTCTCAACCCTCAGACATCCTACACCACCCTCATTCTGTAAGGAGCAGCAGGGCCTACCAGACGCCCACAGAGATCCTTCCCAGCGCGAGGAGGTCGGTGTGGCCAGAGATACTGCTGATGCCGTCACGTGTGTTTGTACAGCGATGCACAGCCTGGCAGTGCAGATAGAAAACGTGGACCATCACGCGGGTCACTGCCGTCGCAGCGGCTTAGAAGGTTGTGCTTTTGTGTGTGAATAAACGTTTCTGTGGAGGCCTTCGACCCTGCAGGTAGTCGTGAACTCGCGTAGTTTTGTGCGCATGGTTGTGACGGAGAGGCGGAACGCAGAGTGGCGGAGGTGGAACAGGAGTGGACGGCGTGTTGTTGTCAATACGGCGACGGGAGAATGGAATGCCAGGACTCCTGGCGCTCGGCAACAACCGAGCAGACGCGGGCGTTGTGCTGCAACATTGCAATCATTTTTATTTCATTCTTAAAGCCCTGGATACTTTTCTTGCACGTCTGTTAGTGATTCAATATCAATATAGATTTCACATATTGTGTTGCTCCCACGGTGGAACGGAGGGGCAGATGTTGACATGTGATATGTATGGTAGCAACATGGGAGTGTAGAGTGACTTAGAGTGTCAAGTTTGTAGTGAAACCAGTGGGACAGGTCCACGCGCGGTGCGACGCCCCTGGTGTACGACGTACTAAAGAGTGGCGTGTCACCTTTTCAAAGAGCAATATGAAAGCGGAACTTGACTCGATTCTCGCGTGTGTTTGATCTGCAAAGCTCCTCTACTGATCTGGTTTGGAATCTTGCGAAGAGGCTGTGAGGAAGACAGCTTTTGGGGAAACGGGAGAAAACGCAATGAAATTCTCGTGTGTTGATTACATTACGGATAGATTTTCTTCAGCGCGAAGGGGAGGCGGCGCGGGAGATGTAACAGCCGGGGAGGTACACCTGTGCGTCAATCTCAAGGTCGTCAATCGATGGCTCGATATAGGATGGATGACCTCCAGTGCCTTCGTCTCCGCCCCGAAGCATCGCTTGCATCAGCGACCTTCGGCGGAGAGGAGAGGAGAGGCAGCGGCAGCATCACTCCTCGGGATAGCCATGCGCTCACCTCTTCCTGCAGAGCTCAGAATATGTCGTGACGTCACAGCCTCTCCCTCTCCTTCAGGCGCAGGATCCCGCCCAAGCCTTCGCCACCTGGAATTGCTTGATTTTGCATTCAGCTTCCAAATGTGCGCGTGACGAAATCGTGCTATATTTAACTTGAGCTCTTGCGGGGGGAGGGGGGGGGGGGGGGGGGAGACGGAGGAGATGCCATGTCGGAGATTTAAGGCCCGTTTTACCGCGCGAGTTGTTTACACTTGCAGAGAAACCCACTGCCTAAGGGTGGGGGAGGCATTCGAAGTAGGAAGTGTTTGGTAACAATACACATCCCTTTGGGGGAACTTGTTTGTACTCGACTCCATTACGAGGGCGAGGAGGGACGTGGGAGCCTGTAGTGTGACGGGGTGGCGGCTCCTCGTCACGTGCTCTGTCTTGAGGCACACCGTCTTGCCATACTTCTCTTTTCTCGTGCTGTTCATCCTTGCAACTTTCATCTCGTTCTTCTCCTTCTTTCATTACTCGTTCCGTTGTTCTTCTCTGTTTCTTTCGCTGTGTTCGTTTCCTTGGTCCTTTTCTTGTTTTCTCTTCGTTCCCTTTTCTCTGTCCGCCATCCGTGTGGTCTCTCCTCCCATCCCCTCCTCCATATCTTCCCCACTTCAAATATCCTGCTCTCAAGGGGGCGATTGTGCACTTTTTTGTACTTTGACACGTTTATTGGGACAAAACAATTGGATCTCAAAGGGATGAGGTAACTTGGGTTATCTTCACCCCTATCCTAATAAGTGCGGGCTCACAATTCATATACCCTGTTATCTTATCCCATTCTCTCGTGATCTGATTAGGTAAAAGTACTTCCCTCCCCTCCCCTCCCCCCCCTCGCCCCCACCAAGTCCATACCCAACTCCGAGCAGGTTACCAACCCAGTCCCACGCAACCCGAGCTGCCGTGTCGCCAGCGTAGCCCGATAACGCGAGCGCAGGTGCCTCGCTGGCTCCTCTTAACCCTAAGACAGGTCGAGCCGCAGCAGACCCTCTCGAGAAGGGGTATTAGGGTTGGGGCAGGTTGGTTTCAAGGAGGGGTGGGGGGTGGGGGCTCCCTCCGATGGGTGGCGGCGGCGGCGGTGGTGGCAGCGGGCACTGAGCGGTGCCGGGAATAAACAAGACCATCTTGGTTGTGCCAGCCGGGGTGCCAGCCGTAAGATACGCATAGGCTATGGTAATGAAAGTTAGTGTTCTTCCGAAAGGACATTTGCAAAGGGGCTTTCTTGTTTGGTGTGTGTGAGTGCATACGTTTGTGACCACTTACTGTCGAGCGCAATCATTTAGTATTTACTGCAATCATGCAAGCCTCGTTAATATGTGCTGCTGACCTATTCACATTTCTTGCTCTAAGTGAGCTAGAGTGCAAAGGTCAAGAACGGCGTGAGTGGGTGCAAGTCTCATACAAGAACCCGGCAGGTCCTTGTACACTGCGGCGAAGGGCTTGGCAGCAGTGCGTGAGGCGGGGTTCGCAGAGGACGGCGAGGGGAGCAGAGGAGGGGAGGAAAGAGGTACGCGCGCCGCCAGGATGCGGGAGGCATGCCCTCTTCCGCAAGCCTCGAACAATTAATTCTGCGGAGGGAGGATCGCGCCGCCCCTCCTTGTGGTGGTGGAAGGAGGGGCGCGCTGGCGAGGGAGGATGCGGGATGCGGGTCCATTTTCCCACTCTCACTCTCGCACAAAGTATAACTTAATCCGCGCCCAGAGATTTTCGCGGGAATCCTCGTAAGGTAGCCAGCGCCACGTGCGGGAGTGGGCGGTGGGGGCGTTCCTCGACGCCCGCCCCTCGCACTCCCCATCAATCTCTTTGCTCGCGGCGAGACGTGAGGAGACAGTTACACGGCGGATTATATCACACTCGCGCTGGAGGAAGAGGGAGAAGCGGTAGTTATACACTAGACATTTTCGTGTTCGTTTGTTTATGTTTGCCTGCGAGTCTGCTAGATTGGTGCTGGGCCTTATTATGTCTGAGAAAAAGAATAATTGGCGCTCCCGCATGGGTGCCGTCCCTCCCGGCATCATGTCCGTGGGCCGCTGAAGGGGTCCGCGCCACGGGTGAACTATGCGTCATGTTCATGAGCATTTTTTAATGTGATGCTTCGTTGAAGATATGGCATAGAAGCCTCGAGACAGGGGCGTCGACGGGGCACACGAACCGCAGACTGCATGATGTCATTCAGTTTTCCCCCCGAGAGGCAGAGGGCGAGGGGGCGCCGTCGTCGCGCGAGGGAGGGGAAGCGAAGGCAGAGGGGAAGGAGTATCTGGTGTGGTGGCAAGGAGCGCCACAAGGATGTCGTGAGTCACAAGGCAGTGAGACACCCAGCCTCACAACGCTGACCTTGCAGCCTCTGAATGCGCGAGTTGTGACATGCATCGCTGCTCGGTTGCAGTGCCGGGGCGTGTCGGGGTCGATCTCGAACGCCGTCCTGCGTATGAGGCGGTGTGCTTCCGGCTCCGACGAGTTTCCTGAC